GTTGGGGGTAGAGCTTACTTAATTTAAAAAAAAAAAAAGAGAGAACAATGGGTTTAAAAGTATCTGGACAAATACATAAGAAGGTGAAATGAACCTTTGCTTCAATGGTGGTATGAGTGTATACAGCAGGCCCTCCATCTGAACCCCCACTGGTCCAGACAGAAGACAAGACCCTGGAGGCAGAGCTCACACACCCAGGATATTGTGGAGTCGGGGTGAGAGCTCTTTACCACGCTTCAGGCTCAAGTATGAGTCAGAGCACCCCACTTACGGTGAGCCGATAATGTAACGTCCTAATCTGGAAGTCCTCACCACAGCGTGCTCAAGAGGCATCCACAGGCAGCCTGCTGTCCGGGGTTTCTGGAATCTCTAAAATCCACCTCATGGAAAACACCAGCCAGTGAAACCATTTAGCAAGGAGGGAAATATGGCCAGACAACTGAGTTCAGATTGGACCAAGAGATCTCCAACTGCAAAATCACTCTACAATATGACAATATCCTTACTGCTTTCAGACTTTCTACAACTGGTACTTTCTTCCACTTGACAAATAATTTGTTATTGCTGGCTAAGTATGCACCTGATGCTGGGGCAGGGGGTTCTATGCAGAAGCAGAAGACAGGTCCTCAAAGAACACTCAACATCACTGCAGGAGGTCTATGCAGAGGGGAAAGAACACAAAATTTCACAGCCAACTGTGACCCAAAGACAGCTTCGGCAATCTCTCCCACCCCATGTGCATCCATGCAATGTGACCTTAATGCTCGCCCCTCAGGAATGAAGTCTACTTCCCCCTGCCCTTGAACCTGAGCTGGCCTATGGCCTAATTTGACCAACAGAATACAAAAATGACCTTGTGTTAACTTTGGAGGCCAGGCCTTCGAGGTTCTGCCTGCACTGCTTGGAACACTCCCTCTTGAAAGCCAGCTGCCAAATAAAAGGGCCACCACGCTCTGAGGACATCCAAGCTACCCTGTGGAGAGAACCAGCACAGGGAGGACCGGCCATGTGAGTGATGCCTTCAAGGACCTTCCAGCCCAGCCCAGCCACAGCTAAATGAAGCCCAATGACTGAGTCCGTCAACACCACATACAACAGAAGAACAGCCCAGCCAAGCCCCGCCTGAATTCCTGGCCCACAAAATAAACAGATGTTGTGTAAAGCCGCTTCGTTTTCAGGTCGTTGGCTAAGCAGCAAGAGATTACTGAAACTGACCTGAAGCCAGGAAACCAGGGACGAGTCCTGGTTCTGTTCTTATCTAGGGAGGTGACCCTGGGTCAACGACTTCCCCCTGCACTGCAATTTCCTCATCTGTAAAAGGAGGGGGTTGTGTACCAGGTAAGCTAAGGTGCTTTCGAGTTGTGACCATTTGCGCCATTCATGCGGTTTCCGGGAACGGGCTAGGCGATGAGCGCTGTGGATACAGAGCATCAGGAGGAGGAGCCATGGACCAGAAGACAACCGCACTGGGCCATGGCAGCTCCATGGCTCCTAGTAAGTCCTCACTAAATATCAGCTAGAATCATATCGTCTTAGAAGTTCTGTGATGCTAGACGAGTTAATCCCTCTGATCCCCAATTTTTTTCATCTGAGAAACGGAGAGGACACTAATGTTTCTGTTTCTACCTGAAGAAAAGGCTTTGTATGGGAAAGTCCCATGCAAATAAAAAAAAAATCACCTACAAAATGCATAACTATGCTACTAATACTTGTATTATACTCTTTGTACCAAAGCCATTCCCAGTCTCCTCCTCACCCAGCAAGGGGAGACAGCTGGTCAATGGCACTGGCTACCAGGAAGACACACGGGGAAAGAGGGAGAGGCAGGTACAGAGGGGTCGTACCAGCCATCAGGCCAAGTGAGATTTTACCCCCCACCCCTCAGCAATGATCAGTGGGCTAGGCACCCGTGCTGACGGAGAGCAGGTAACCCCTTAGGAGCAGCTGCTAGTCCAGGGGGATATCTGGAAACGGCCCAGCATTAAAAGTTTAAGAAATTTCCTACATCAGAGTCCAAAAGGCCAGCAACCTGAGGATGCCCCACCTGTGAGCTGTGAATCAGACCACCGCCCAGCAGACTGAACACTCCATAAAAATGATTAAATAAGCACTGGATCTGGGAGCCTGAAGTCAAAGCTCCCAGGTTTAAACGCTGGCTTTGCCACCCACAGCTGTGTGCACGAAAGCAGACAACAACCTCCCTGAGCCTATATCCTCATTTATTTATAAGACATAAGGAGACCCACTTTTAGGGAAGCAGTGAGAATTACGTGAAACTGCATGCGAAAAACATCTAGGATTCTGCTTAATCACTAAATGCATGATGTTGTTTTTCAATTTTTTTTTTTTTTTGAGAGAGAGAGAGAGAGAGAGCTGGGGGCAGAGGGGAGAGAGAATCTTAAGCAGGCTCCTCACACAGCATGGAGCCAAATGAGGGGCTCAATCTCTCGACCCTGAGATCATGACCTGAGCTGAAATCAAGAGTCAGACGCTCAACTGACTGAGCCACCCAGGCGCCCTCATGATGCTTTTAAGTGCACAGACCCTCTGACTCCCAGATACCCTTCAACCCCAGCCGTAACCTTTCAATCTCTGCAGAAGCCTAAAAATGAGTGGCAGCCATCCAAACAGTCACTCCATCAGGTGTTGATTCTGAAAAACTGCCAGCCCTTGGGAGAGAAAGACCTGGGCTTATTTTCCAAGGGGATCTGACAAGGCAGCAAGAAGACGTTTACATTTTCCAGCCTGTGTTTTTCCAAAACAAGGGACAAATGTGGTGAAATCCCAGTGAGTGTGCAGGTCCACAGACACTGTTCTGGTGGGAGGTGGAAACCAGGCAGAGGAGACACTTGCTGGATGCACCTGGGACAGAAAAGTTTCTGCTTCCACCTATACTCAGGTCTTGGCTGACAGGGTTTGAACGTCCTGGTGTCCAGCGTCGATTCCAAAGGGCTGGGAGTTAGGACCCAGTCCTCGGTCAGCCCTGTCCTTTCTCAGAGCAGAACCCCTTCGTCCCCCTATGTCTCAGATCTGCACTGGGAACACAGCCTGGACCAGCTGTGGCTCCCCCTTCCTCTAATCAAGCACCACTGTGTGTGAACCCAGGGAAGTTCCTATAGGAACTACATCATGCAGCCCCCAGACGTTTGCTTAGAAAAGAAATTCCATGTGGGGAAGGTGAAGGTAAGATCCAGCAAGGTGGAGGCAAGCCTCAAGCCCAGTGTTTCTCAAAGTCTGGTCCCAGCCACTTGCATTAAATCACCCACAATCCCCATTAAGGGTACCCAGTCCCAGGCTCCCCCCAGATGTGTCAAATTAGAATTGGGGGTGGCAAGAATTAGACTTTTCAATAGGATTCTTATGCCTACCGGGTTTTGAGACCTAGTCGGGACCAAAGGCAGAAACTGTGCAAAAAGAATTTAAAAGGTTTTAAAACACTTTAATTCTTGATCCCCCTCCTTGCCCTCACTCTTGTGAAACAGAGCACTGGTGAACCAAACAAGACAAAGCCAATTCCACAGTTTATGGATATCCAAGAAAACTGAATTATTATCATGATGAAAAGCCATGCTGTAAAGTGAAAAACTTGCTCACTAGAGCAACAGGCCTGGACAAAAATTAACCCAAACATCCCATCTTAGACCAACGAGATCTATTCTGAGAGAAGCAAGATAAGATCTTGGCTACAACCGCACTCTGGTCCCAGCCATACCCAGTAATTCGGCTCTGCATTCCACTGCAGGGTTTGAGTGGGGTGGGGGATAGGGGGTGTCCTACCTCTAGCAAATACGGTTGGGGGAAGGTTATGGGGGGGGAGTTAAGATTCACCAATTCACACATCCCCATGAGAAGGAAAAAAAAAAATCTAAAGATAACTGATTGCACTGGGCACATATCAGACACTTGAAAGATGTTTCACAAATTGAAGGGAATAGCCACCTGATGGAATCATCCTTGCCTGAGATAACGCCATGCATCTTCAAAGTCATGAAGGAAAAAGGGAACGAAGAGTAAAACTGTCTCCACATCGAAAGTAGTCTTTTCAAAATCAGCAAGAACCTGAAAAACAAACCTACTTGGAGGGGCAATACCTTCTGTCACTTATCAGCGACAGGCACACTGCAGGTGCTGAGCAACTTTGGGTCTTTGAGGTCAGGTGGCATGAAGGAAGAGCACTTTCCGCAAGCGATGGGCAGCGGGAGCCCCAGCTGTGATTGCGGGAACCAGAACGCCTCCCTCTGGGAAGTGCATCTCAGAGGGCCAGGCTTATCGCGCACCCCCCAGTCCAGTCCCGAGGCTTGCGCCCCGCCCCCTCCCCAAAGACGGACCCGGGGCTCTGGCCTCGGCGCTGAAAATTCCAGTCATCCCCGCTAAATTCTTCAACAGCCGTCCCCTACTAGCTGCTGAAACTTAACATTACGCCACAAAACGAGCAAATGGGCAGCTTTCACCCCTCCCCCTTCAATGACTGGCACTTGCAAAGGAGTCGTGGCAAATAAGGCAATTAAGAAGTGACTGACACCTGGACCCGGGTACCTGGAATCTAAAACAAAAACACCCCTGTATTATGTTCCTCAATCAGGAAGTAGGCATTCCCTCTTAAAAAAAAAAAAAAAAACCTTCCTGAAAGCACCTCTCCCATGGGATCCCAGCAGGTAAATAACACCAGAGCTTTCCTAAAGCGATTCTAAAGAACCAGGGGTCCAGGCAGCGCTCCCCCGCTGGCTTCTCCAGCTCGGAAGAAGGGATCGGGAAGTCAGGCAGTCCGGAGAGGTGAGGATGGGGGCGTCTGCAGGTGGGAGGAGGGGGCAAAGCAATACCGCCCAAACTTCGCAGCTGCTCTGTCGCACTTCTGGGCAGGAGCCCGCGGAATTCAGTCCCGACAAGGGGAGTCACCTCCCTACCAGAAAGGCCCCCCACATCAGCCTGGCCCGCCAGCCCCGCGTCCGCTCGGACGTGCCGCCTCCCCTGCATTGCCCCCCCCCCGGGGGGGCCCTCACCTTGGCCTCGAAGCAGATGCCGTGCTGGAAGGCGTCCTCGTTGTGCAAGGGGATCCGCAGGTCGTGCCCATCGTCCACAAGGTTGTACTTGGTTTTGCTGGGCATGGTGGTGACCCGCGGGGGACCGGCTCCTCCAGAGGCGGCGGCGGGAAGGGACTGGCCAGACCCGGGAGGGGTGAGGAGGGGAGGGGAGGGGCGGGAGGCGCGCGCGGCGGCCGCGGGAGCCGGGACCCGAGCGGCGCCGAGGGCCGGACGGCAGCGGGCTGCGCGGCTGCGGGCGGCGCTGTGGCCGCGCGACTCCTGCGGGCGAGGAGGACGGCGGCGGCGGGAGCGGGCGGCGCCGGGCCGGGGGAGGGGAGCGGTGGGCGCGCGGCCCGAGGCGGGACCCGGCGCGGCGGCTGCCCGGGACGAGGAAGAAAAGGCGGCGGCGGCGGCGGCGGCGGAGCGGGGTGCCTGTCACGGAGACGCTGGATCGGCCGCCGGCGAGCCGCTCCTCCTGCGGGGCGGGACCCGGGCCGGCTCCTCCCACGGGCTCCTAGGCCCCGCCCCGCGCCCGCCACGCCACGCCCCGCGCCGCCCGCCCGCCCGCCGAGCAGGTGAAAGCGCCCGGGAGCGCGGTGCCCGCCCGCCCGGCCCGCGAACCCTGCAGCCCGGCCCGCGAGCTGGGCCCGCAGCCCGGGCTCAGCCCTGCTTCTGTTTTTACGGTCACGTTCGGAGCCGAGCTGCCGGGGGTCAGCCGCTGCCGCAGCGCCTTGGATGTTTTGTTTTCGTTGGGGGGGAGGGGTGGCGTTTATTGTGTGTGTATGTTCTCCGAGGAAGGCCCAGGTCCTGTCCCAAATACATCCAGATCGCTAAGTCTGAGAGTTCCCTTTCCCTGGAGAATCAAGACTGTACCCAGTGGGGGCCCATCGCGGGCGCTTTTTGTTCTTCGGAGCCGTGATTTGTGGCTTGTGTAATGGGGCCTGGGGAATGCCTTTTGGAAAGGTTTTAATATTAAAAAGCCATCAGCCTGTGGGAACGGAGTAGGCCAAAAAAAAGGAATACTAAGGACAAGAGAATCCTCAGCCTTTTTACTTTTCTTAATTAAACCTTCTGTAACTGGGTATGGACAAGATGAACTTCCAAGTTATTTCTGACTGTTCTATTCTCCCTTCCTAAATGCTTCAGCCAATTTGCCTGTTGTTAAGAAGAGACCCTTTTGACATCAAGAGCTTTTGCCTTGCGGAATGTGCAAATGAAAGGGTCAGAGGAGTATCTGCCATAGATACCTGCTGAAACCTCATAGGTAGTGCTACGGGATAACTATGATTTTCTGTGCCTTCACATTACCCCAAAGTCACCAAAAGCAACCAAACAAGCTGGTGCCAACGCCAGTCCAACCTGAGATCACTGAGACCAAATGGTCAGCTCCCGAAGGTTGAATTCATCACCCTCAACCTGCTTTTGATGCCCTGTGGACACATCCACCCAAGGAAACTCTCAAACCAAATGTCGTTGATTGTTACATGGGCAAGGCTTGGAATCCCCACAAAGCAACACAGTATTACTTGCAAAAGGCGTATCTTCCTACGCCATTTCCGTGATAAATTTATATAACAGAATGCCTTACTGCTATAATTCTATTTCTCATTTTGTCTCGTAGTGCTAAAGTACAATTGTCCTTGCCTAAATTTTGTTTACTCCCTATCTGCTGAAAGTACTTGTCAAGATGTAGCATCTTCTGGGATATCCCCTTAAATAAAAGCAAGCTGATGACTAGAACAAATTCATCACATACTTTATGCTGGGTAGAGTTTATTATAGTCATAAATATTAGTAAGAGCCAAAAATCATTTGCACTGAGGAAACGTACCACTAACATCTTTATAAATACAGAACATGAAAGTCTAATTAGGCATATCTGACTCTTCGAATGCCACGGTAGTTTTAATATATGCATCCTAACGTGCTCTCTAAAACCTGGCGCAGAACTCCACAACCTCAAGGCAAGACCTCAAGCAACTACTCCTTGACATCTCCTTTTCCCTCCTGAATTTAAAGTCTTTTGACTCCAAAGGGCCTTTTTTCTAGATTTCCTTGGGTCCCATTGGACTGCTGAATTTTTGGAATTTCCTATCTAACTCTGTAACACATGGTAGACCAGACACAAAAAGCTGAAACCCCAAAGATATTTCAGGGTCTAATACAGTGACTACTCCGTAGTAGACATCTAGTAGTAATTTATGGAGTCGAATAATAATAGCTAATGTTCACTGAGCTTTTTCTATGTGTCAGGCATTGTTCTTAGAGGCTTACATGTATTATCTCATTTAATATTGACAATACTCCTAAGGGTTGTCACATTTTTGAAGAAACTGAGGCACAGATGGGTTACAAACTCTCCCAAGTTCACACACTTAGAAAGGAGAGGAGCCAGAATTTGAATCCATTTCTATGCCACGAGGCGTTTCCATCGTGGCCTGGATTGCCACGAAAGTCTTCTTACTGCAAACGAGATGCATATCAAATTCAGGGTCCATGTTTTATTTAGATGTGTATTGTTGCTAAGCTATATTCTTTCCACTTCACTTAGATGAAATGTTCCAAAAAGAAGAGGCTGTTCTCTGCTTTGGCCTCCACCTAATACGTCAGAGCCACACAGGCAAAAAAAGCACCCTTCTTCCAGAAACAATGGACATCCAAAGTAAATTTCCTTATTTTTTAGCAGTGATTTCAATCTTGTTTTTGCACCTTTAAATATAATTGAATTTCCCACAGCATTTCCAAATCTATTTTTTAAACGAATCAAGTTTTATCACTTTCCATATCCTTCTGTATTTAAACACTGCATAATACAATTTTAATCTGAAGTACATTTAATTAAAATATAAATTGCTAAAGCGTGTAATACTTGCTATGTTAAATTGTATTAAAACTTTGTTTAAAAATGAATTGAAAAAAAATTCCTAAGTCCCTTTAGAACTGGAAGTTACTCAGAGGTTCTCTAATCCAGCTCCCCCCTTTTTTTAGTAAGTGACTTTTTTTTTTTTAAGATTTTATCCATTTATGAGAGAGAGCGAGAGCATGAGCAGGGGGAGGAACAGAGGGAGAAAGAGAGGGAGAAGCAGACACCCTGCTGTGCTAGAAGCCCAACACAGGGCTCAATCCCAGGACCCCGAGATCATGACCTGAGCCAAAGTCAGCCACCCAACTGACTGAGCCACCCAGGTGCCCCTAATCCACCTCAAAGAAACAGACACCTGGGGAGAGTAAGTAGTTTGCCTAGACCTCACTATAAACTAGAGCTCCTATCTCAGTGATCTTTTCCTTATACAATGATGGCTTATAAGTAATGACAACAAACTATTTTTAACACATATTTGGAACTGAGAAAATTCATTTGTCTTTGGTCGTAAAACACCTGCTTCGCAATGTACTTCCTGTGCATTGTCTTACTTGGCCATATGAGGTAAGTACAATCAGTATACCCATTTTACAGATGAGGAAACTAAGAGAGGGAAGTAACTTGTGTAGGTCGTAGAGCAATCAGTCCTGGGAATCCTGTGAGTTTAACCAACAAAGAATGTAGATGATGTCAGCTTGCCCAGTACTGCTCAGATACACACATGGATAGAACTCAAACTCTGTAGAAATCATATCAGTTATTAAGAACACATAATGGGGTGCCTGGGTGGCTCAGATGGTTAAGCGTCTGCCTTCGGCTCAGGTCATGATCCCAGGATCCTGGGATCGAATCCCACATCGGGCTCCCTGCTCCTTGGGAGCCTGCTTCTCTCTCTCTCTCTCTCTGTCTCTCATGAATAAATAAACAAAATCTTTAAAAAAAAACAAAACACATAATGATTTCCTCCTGCTAGATAACATGTAGCTCCATAAAGTTCAGATTCTTTTCTCATGGCAGTGTTTTTAAGTTGAAGATGTCTCCTGGGGCATAGAGAGCTAGAAATCATTAGCCTCCTTTTTTTCCTCAGTAGACAAGGAAGACTTTGTTCAAAGCTATTGCAGTAGGGGAGAGAACTCAGAATTCAGGGTTCAGAACTCAATCTGAGCTCAAATCTGCTGAAACAAAGGACTGAAGAGTTAGGTTTTTTGCTTTGGGTTTGGGTTTCTCTGGTTTTGGGTTTTTTTTTTTTTACCTTTTTTTTAACTTTATAGAATGGTGAATTTATTCATGATAAATAACAAATGAAAGTTTCACATAAAAAACTTGCAAAGATATCTAGGGTGGGCCTACAAATACATGATAAAATAATATTGGCATAAGATTTTAGAACTGGAAAAACCATTACAGATCCTTGAAGTCTCTTATTTGACAGCAGAGAAACCAAAGCCCAGATTGCCTAAGATCTCAGTTCGTGGCAAAGGCAGGACCAGAATCCTGGCTGTAAAAAAAAAAAAAAAAACCTGGTCCAGTGTTCTCTCCATCATACTGTGCTGTCACCTGCTCATTAGCCCATTTTAAAAGGTGGCAATAAAGATATTAAGTGATTTCTGTGCAAAAAAAAAAAAAATCCTATCACTAATCGTGTCTAACCCAATGGTTTTTTGTTTTTTAAATATTTTATTTATTTATTTGACAGAGAGAGACACAGCGAGAGAGGGAACACAAGCAGGCAGAGTGGGAGAGGGAGAAGCAGGCTTCCTGCTGAGCAGGGAGCCCGATGCGGGGCTCGATCCCAGGACCCTGGGATCATGACCTGAGCCCAAGGCAGACGCTTCACGACTGAGCCTCCCAGGCGCCCCAATCCAATGGTTTATTACGATGTTTTATTACATAAGCAGTAATTTGGGATGTTTGCCCCATAAGAAAGATGATCCTAAAGATCTCACACATCCTCATCCTGGCCTACATTATTTTTCCCCCTTAAAACTGACTCCTGTGACTCACGCCCCTATGCCAAGGGCAGGCCACATTTCCCATTTATTTGTTTTAAATGTGAGCCTCTGTCGACAAAATTGTGCATGTTACATTTTTATAAATTGAACACTCTTTCAAATCGACTTCCACACGGAGGTCTGTGTTCTAGGCTTGGCCGCACAACTGGCCAGTGCAGGGGAACAGGGCGGGAAGACCGGAGCTGTGGGGAGCCCAGCTGCAGCTCCCGCCCTCTGGCCTTCTGGAGCGCTTTCCCACCCATCCCTGGACCCGAGAGGCAAAAAACAAATAGTACTGAAGGTCTTGGACATTCTGGGAGGGTCTGCACGCTGCCTCACAGTTGTCTTTCTCTTGGAACACTCGTGGAGTGAGATCCTAAGAAAGGAGCACTGGCTGCAGAATTTTGCACTCGATCTTAGCCAAAAGGCCAAGAAGCGATGGGTCTGCCGAATTTTCAACTGAAGGAAGAAGGTTGGGTGCCAGGCAGGGTCTGAGCTCCCTTTCTCATGGAGATTCTTCTAATCTCTCCCGGATGGTGTGACGATTCCTTGCTTTTTGAATTCAGATTTCCTTTTCAAGCTAACAGCTGTGTTTC